CACTAGGCCACATCTTATCCCAACAAAAAAATATATAAATGACTGAGCATAAAAGTTCAGTTCCATAATTCCATAACATTAAATATAAAACAAATATTTTACCTGGAAAACAGACATGCTTAATTCAAAACTTCCAAAATATTATACATAAAACAAATATGATACAAAAAATAAACTTGTACAAATCCACTGCTACAGGCCAACAAGCATGTTCATATGACCAATAACCAGTTTTGGTGCAAAACCATACATACCAATAACAATGAACACTTTCTTCTTTATTTCTCTCTTTAATTTTTGGTTACAGTTTAGATTTTCAAAACTAAATATTTTTTTAAGTTCTCATCCTAAAATTTTAACATCATAATTTATTACAAAATAACAAAACTAGTAAACTCAATTTATTATTATACATTCTGCTTAAAATCTAAATAAAAATCTACTCTTATTCCTTAATATTAGTCTTGCACTGTTAGTTTTTTAGCTGCAAAGATGCTAAAGTAAACATGACTCTGAAAGCAACAAATGTCAACTACTTTTTTTTAAATCCAGAATTTACACGAACAACTTAACATGACTACATTTGTTTAATGGAAGTAAAACAATTGAATTTTGGCAATGTATTATTTTTAAGTTAAAAAACATCCTAAAATCATACACACCTTTTTCAAATCCTGTCAAAAGTCTGTTCTTGGTCAAGATTTGGAAACCTCTGTTGCCAGATGCCATTATGCATTTACTATAAAACATACAAGTTACATAAGTATTTAAAATTGAATTTATATGTTAATGTTACATGTTTCTCATTTCCAGTGATAAAGTATATATACATTATCAAACAGTTCTTCTAATAATCCAATCATGTAATAAAAAATTACTTGCTTATTTCTTGGACATAAGGAATTATTTGGCCCTTCAAAGCTGCTCCTGGATACCCAACTCCTACCAAAAAGAAAAATTTATCCCATCCTTTATTTTTCACTGGTGTATAGCCCATCAAAAATGAAGGGGCAAGTACTAACCCCCTCCCTCTGTTGCATCCACATCTAGCAATATCAAATGTTGTATAACCAATTAGGGCATTAAGGTTATGCTACCATGCTATCACATACACTGTACAATTGTATGGGTTTCATGAACAGCAGGAAGAAGTGTAACTATACTATTTAGAATTTATTGTCAAAAAATTCATTTATTTTCAAATTAAGTTTATGCACACACTTCAGTATGTATCAAATTCCAAGTCATATGAGTGAAAATATATGATGGAGGAAAAATTAGAGAAAGCGACAACAATATATACTCCTGGTGCGATTAAACACTAACCCATTTTCATTGAAAGTGTTATTATCAACTGTCACTAATCTATTCTGTCTGCAGTTTCGCATGCGTATCCTATTTAACCTGCGTCTCCGTTCTACTTCTTCAGCATTCTGACTTGCTCTGTGTCTCTGCTGCCTTTCTCTGGCTAACCTACGTCTCCGTTCTATTTCATTAGCATCTACAGCATTTTGACGTGCTCTGTGTCTCTGTTGCCTTTCTCTGGCTAACCTGCGTCTCCGTTCTATTTCATTAGCATCTGTAACATTTTTACTTGCTCTGTGTCTCTGTTGCCTTTCTCTGGCTAACCTGCGTCTCCGTTCTATTTCATCAGCATCTGTAGCATTTTGACTTGATCTAAGTTTCTGTTGCCTTTCTCTGGCTAACTTGCGTCTCTGTCCTATATCATTATTATCTGTAGCATTTTGACCTGCTCTGTGTTTCCGTTGCCTTTCTCTGGCTAACCGTCTTCTTCTTTGTGCAGTGCTTTCACATTCCATAGTATACCCCAACCTCACATTTCATAGCTAAGTTAAATAAATATTTTTTTCAAAATCAAGCTTGGCCAACAAAGAGGCAGAAAAGTGCAGTCGAGGCAGTCAAATGTCGGTAAATTCCTTTCCGAGCCAATCAAAGTTAAGAACGTACATGAAATGAATTCGTGGCGTATTCTAGAATAATTATTAGTGAAAATCAGTTAGATTAAAAGCTTTTAATGTATAGAAAAGCCAGTGCGTTTTAATAACACTACGTTCCAAAATTGGCTTTTATATCATGTTGCTTAGCAACAAAAGTATAACCTAATAATGTTGTTAGTCTATGTTCTGAAAGTATAATATTAAATGTATACAGACAACAAAACTGGAAAAATATTTGTTGATTTCTTAATTTAGAGTTTCCGTTGATTAAACAGGTTTGTTCTTTTATTAAAAACTTTGGAGATATTACAGAAAATAGCTTAATTCAGAAACGATTTAAGTTTAAAAATGAATCGATATTGTTACGTCTCCGTTCGTTAGTTAATTTTCCGTAAAAATTCTTTCCGTAGAAACTTTACCGATACAAGTCCTTTCTTAAATAAAACTGGTTTATTCTTTCTGAATACAACTTTGCGATACACTTAATTTCAACAGTCGCGCTATAACAAACGCTATAATTCACAACGAACGTCTCACGTGCTCAACAATAATCTCTCTCTCCGCAGTTCAATTACACATTATCTTACGTTGCTTCTTGGCCGGTCTTATATATACAAGACTACCCCAATCTAGTAGTCTCCCGACATTTCATGAAGGTTCGAGAAGGAAGTGGCGTGATACAAGCGTCACGTGACCTGCGTTGTCGTAACAATATTTTTACTTTCATGATAAATTTTATGCACTCGGTTCTAGGCTAGGTGAACAATCGCCAAGTGTTTTATATTTTTGTTTAAAGAAGGATGATTTTTCGAGCTGGCGCTTTTCGTCAAATCATACAGCTTACAAACAAGTGTAAGTTAAATGTATAGACAACAAAACTGGCCCCCAGTGGCAAAGCGATATGTTTGCGACTTACAACACAAGAAACCGGATTTCGATACCGTAGTGGACAGAACACAGATAGCCCATCGTGTAGCTTTGTGCTTAACTTCAAACAACAACAACACATGTAACACATGACCCCTTTCATTGTTTCGAACGGAAACGTATGGATTGGCTAACGATGAATATGATTTCAAGGTTTTATGAACTCTTTAGCATATTCCTTCACGTTAGAACTAAACACATTCGATTCATAATTCGATTCATACAGATAGTGTACGATATAAAACGACCGTACTTTACAAATAACTTATCTTACCTAGTATGAGCAACAAGAATATGGAATCAAGATAAAAACGCTTTTAACAGTTTTGCTACTATGTCACTATGTGTGTATATGCTTTTACCAGAGTATACTGTTACGTCTCTGTTCATTAGTTAATTTTCCGTATAATTTCTTTCCGATGAAACTTTACTGATACAAGTCCTTTCTTAAATAAAACTGGTTTATTTTTTCTGAATACAACTTTGCAATACACTTAATTTCCACAGTCGCGCTATAACAAGCGCTATAATTCACAACGAACGTCTCACGTGCTCAACTCAACTGTCAATTACACACTATTGCCGTCACTTCTTGGCGGCTTATATATACAAGACTACCGCATATCTAGTAGCCTCTCGAGACTTCAGTAAGAGACGTGAACGTTCGAGAAGCGCATGACGTGTTACTAGCGTCACGTGACCTCCACTGTCGTAACAATATAGTTTGTTAATTGATTTTTTTGTAACTTCGTTCCGACGAAATTTTAACGACACAAGTCTTTACTTAATAAAACTGGTTTATTCTTTCCGAATATAACTTTACGATACACTTAATTTCAATATTCGCGCTAAAACAAACACTATAACGAACGTTAACTTCAATTACTCACTATCTACACACACATTACATTCCCTCGTAAAGTTGTCACC